ATTTCACCATCAATTTTGAAAGATAGTTTTGCAGGGTACATCAATCTGGGTTGGAGGCTGTTTTCCTTTAGGGCTTGAAATACATCACTCCAAGCCTTTCTAGGCTTGAGGGTTTACATTGAGAAGTCTGCTGTGATTCTGATGGGCTTTCCTTTGTATGTGATTTGTTTCTTTTCTCTCAATGCTTGCAGAATTTTATTCTTCTGTTGAGTTTCTGGAATCTTAACAATTATATGCCTATGTGTAGATTTGTTTTGATCAAGGCTAGTTAGAGTCCTATATGCCTCACTTTTCTGAATGTCAAGTTTTTTTCCCCTGCTTGGGAAGTTTTCTGCCATCACTTCTGTGAACATTTTTTTTTATGTCGTCTGCACTCTCTCCTGTTTCTTCATTGACTCCGATCAGTCTTATGTTTTTCTTCTTTGCATTGTCTAGTAGCTGCTGAATTGATTTCTCGTGATCCCTCACAATTTTAAAGCAATTTTTCTTTTCCTGGTCACTAATAGCAATCTTATCTTCAATATCTGAAATTCTGTCCTCACATTGGCTCATTCTCCTGTGTAAGCTTTCAATGGAGTTTTTAATCTCCTGAAAATCTGTTTGTATCTGTTTTATGGATTTCATTTGTTTCCTATGTTGGGATTCCATCATGTTCCTCAGTCCCTCTATTTTTTTAATCTGTGTCTTCTCTAGATTTATTAATCATGTCTTACACTATGGGCACAATCTCTGGTGTTATCTGAGAAATTATTTCCAATTTTATTTTTTCCAGATCCTCTTTTGTTGCCAGTTGAGGGAGTCCAGGTGATTGTGTATCAGAGTGTTCCATCTCCTTTCCCTTGGGGTTGCTTTAGGTGATCTGGAAGTCTGGTTTTGAGACTTATGTGTCTTCTCATTTTGACTGGAGGGGGGTGCACAGCTCACCTCCTCTGTGCTGGGGGAGGGCGTGGTACTTTGGCCCAGAAGCCTCCTCCTGGGCTCTGGGAGCAGCTCATCTCCTGTGCACTGGGCAAGGGGTGGTACTTCAGCCCAGAAGCCTCCTCCTGCGTGCTTGACAGATGGTAGTTAACAAAAGCCTAATGGCTTCGTCACTCATGAAGAGAGATTTGGGGATTCTAGACAGGGTACTCACAAGAATGGTCAGAAAATCCATAAAGTGGAGAGGTAAAGGGATCCCCTAGCCTATGAAGGCAGAAATTGAAGGAGAGGTACAGGGAGGACAGTAGTTCACACTAGCATGTTTTCAAAGACTCATAACCTCCAGAGAAACTGCCATGGTAATCATTTCTTTAGGTACATTGTTGTGCCTTTATGAAAAGAAGCCATTGAAACCTCATTTCCATTTCCATGAGCATAATTGGATTTCAATGGCTTACATTTCCTAACCAGGCTCCCCCATAGTCCTGATATCTAGGAGTCACAGGAGCTGGCAAAGGCTTATCCCTGCAACCATTCCCACAGCAATCACACACTCTGCAAGAGGGAATGTGGGTGGCTGTGGTCTTTTTAGAGAGCAATGCAACTGTAGTTCTTAAAATTCAAAACACACGTGCCTTTTGACCAGGCAGCTGAACTGTGGGAACTCCGGTCCACAGAAATAAAGCCTAGGTGGAGACCTCGGAAAAGTGGTGGTGGTGCTCAGTGGAGGTGAAAACGTTGAGGAAGGGAAGGTACTGAGGGAAAATGCAGAGCTGGAGTCACGTGTACTGCTTCTTGGCCAAGAGAGGGCAATTCAGTTGAATATCTCATGGCCTACAGGGAGTTTCTGCGGTACCTCTGAGAACTTATGCAGATCAATCAATTGATGCTGATGTAACAGTGATAGGTTCTGGTCCTGGAGGATACGTTGCTGCCATTATAGCTCCCCAGTTAGGCTTTAAGACAGTCTGCATTGAGAAAAACGAAACACTTGGCGGAACATGCTTGAATGTTGGTTGTGTTCCTTCTAAGGCTTTATTGAATAACTCTCACTATTATCATATGGCCCATGGAAAAGATTTTACATCTAGGGGAATTGAAATGTCTGAAGTTTGCTTGAATTTAGAGAAGATGATGGAGCAGAAGAGTAATGCAGTAAAAGCTTTAACAGGTGGAATTGCCTATTTATTCAAACAAAATAAGGTGGTGCACATCAATGGATACAGAAACATAACTGGCAAGAATCAGGTCACAGCTACAAAAGCTGATGGCAGCACTCAGGTTATTGATACAAAGAACATTCTGATAGCTACAGGTTCAGAAGTCATTCCTTTTCTTGGAATCATGATTGATGAAGATATAATAGTGTCATCTACAGGTGTTTTATCTTTAAAAAAAGTTCCAGAAAAGATGGTTTTTATTAGTGCAGGAGTAATTGGTGTAGAATTGGGCTCTGTCTGGAAGAGACTTGGTGCAGATGTGACAGCAGTGGAATTTTTGGGTCACATAGGTGGGGTTGGAATTGTCATGGAGATATCTAAGAACTTTCAGAGGATCCTTCAGAAGCAAGGCTTTAAATTTAAATTAAACACAAAGGTTACTGGTGCCACCGAGAAGTCAGATGGAAAAATTGATGTTTCTATTGAAGCTGCTTCTGGCAGGAAAGCTGAAGTTATCACTTGTGATGTACTCTTGGTTTGCATTGTTCGATGACCCTTTCCTCAGAATTTGGGACTGGAAGAACTTGGAATTGAACTGGATCCCAGAGGTAGAATTCCAGTCAAGAGCAGATTCCAAACTAAAATTCCAAACATCTATGCCATTGGTGACGTGGTTGCTGGTCCGATGTGGGCTCACAAAGCAGAGGACGAAGGCATCATCTGTGTGGACGGCATGGCTGGTGGTGTGGTGCACATTGACTATAACTGCATGCCATTGGTGATATACATGCACCCTGAAGTTGCTTGGGTTGGCAAATCAGAAGAGCAATTGAAGGAAGAGGGTATTGAGTACAAAGTTGGGAAATTCCCATTTGCTGCTAACAGCAGAGCTAAGACAAACACTGACACAGATGGCATGGTGAAGATTATTGGGCAGAAAGCAACAGACAGAGTGCTGGAGCACATATTTTGGGACCAGGTGCTGGAGAAATGGTGAATGAAACAGCTCTCGCTTCGGAATACAGAGCGTCTTGTGAAGATATAGCCGGAGTCTGCCATGCACATCTGACCTTATCAGAAGCTTTTAGAGAAGCAAACCTGGCTGCATCATTTGGCAAAGCGATCAACTTTTAAATTAGATCTATTTTTTTCTGAAAATCCTGGAAGCTTTTGTAGAGGTCACATTTCTGAACAAGATGTGCTCACAATTCAAGAATTTGTGGGACTGAATTATGAAACTTTTGGAAGGTATTTAATAGGTTTGGACAGAATGCAATAATCTTATATCTATATTTTAAGTATTTTGTTTCAGTACATTAACATGCAGGATAAAAGCTACATATAGTTGCATCCTGATTGATTTTCATCAGTCCATATTTTCATGCTGTTTTTGAAAGGTTCAGCTTCACTGAATCAAGGCTAAGTGGCATTTATCTCTAATTCTGTGGTGTTGGTGGAGTTGGAGTATGGTATGTGAAGAAAGGTGATCAAGTTATTTTAAATATGGTTTTCATATTGGAAACAAGTCTGTTAGTAGAACAAGATTTAAATATGTATAAACCGAACTCATGTAAATAAAAAGTGACCATTTCAAAAAAAAAAAAAGAAATAAAGTCTAGGTATAAATGGACAGATTGTGCAAGTCTGTTCACTGCAGCATCACTTGCAGTGGTGAAATCTAGAAATGGCTGGAAACCCCTTTGTGAATTGACTTTCCTGCCAGCTTCTACTGCTTTGGTTTAAATCTATAACCATTGGTCTTTCATGGTTGACGTCTGTGGCCACTGACCAGGAGTGAGGGCTCTGTTTTATTACCAAGGGGGGAAAAAGTAAATTCCTAGATAATACATACAGTCTGATCCTTTTCATTTTCATTCCTTTCTGATAAAATAAAATGAAGCCAGTCCTTTTATATTTATTCATTACGAACAAAGAAGGAATCAGAGGAGATTAATGTAAGGAATATACAGATCTTATTATTCACTTTATAATAAAGTTTATGTAATGAGTAGGCATTGCTGCTATATCTTAAAGTAAATATATAGTGTTTAATTTTAGATAATCAGGCATCACTACCATATTAAAATATATTCATATTTAATCATATATAATTTATATATTAAAATATAAATCATATTAAAATTGCATCTAATATATATTAAAAATTAAAACTATTATTCTATAGATATTTTAAGTTATACATTCAATTTTAAATATAAATACTTCTCTGTAAGTAATACTTCTGTATTTAATAAATTATGTATATTATGTATACATTATGTAAATTATGTATAGGTATAGAAAGGTGCATATGGGTATATAAGTGTATAAATAGAATATATTATAGGTAATAATATGTTATACTCTAGATATCATATTATATGTTATATATATTCAATAGTCACCAAAAGACATAAGCTATACTACAGTGTCTGTGGCAGCTGTATTTATAAGAGGCTCAAGTTGAAAACAATATGAATGCCCATCACAGTATATTGGATAAATACTTTATGACATATTTATGCAGTAGAAACCTATACAGCAAAGAAAATGAACACACAATACACAGATGGCTCATAGTATTGAGCAAAGATGCTGATGCTGAAAAGCATATAATTGTATTTACACAGCATTCAGACAAAATGGATCCAGACAAAAATCCAGACAAAATAGATGTGCCCTGTTAATGAGGACAGTGGCCACTGGGAAGGTCTGAGGGATGACCTCAAGGCTGGCTTTGTTTTGCTCTTGATCTGGTTGCTGGCTACGTGGGCTAATTGCATATTAAAAGCCAGGCCTTCCCAGCACCTGACTTTCTTTTACCTCTTGTGTCCCAGATATTGCAGGCACAAATGATGTATGGCTCAAGAACGAAAAGGACATCCTGGACCACCTCACCCAAGAGCAGCTGAGGGACTATGGCCGGGACTATGTTCTTCTGCAGAAGAATTTCCTCAATAAGTTTGAAAGCTTTACCTGCCCAGACTTTACCCCAGTGCTCCGGGACATCCAACATGCCATCTCTGCTCAGAGCCCGTCTCCCTTCTATATGCCGGGGAAAATGGTTTCCCTGTGGGTCTACTTTGCCTTCCTTTCCCCTACCCACTTATTTGATTATTGTGTTAAAAAAATATTTGTCAAGAGTGAGTATATTCCCAGAGCTCTACACATGCCTAACTAGAAGATCCTAGTATCACAGTCTCTCTAGAAAGACAATGCCTGGGTATTGATGGCTGCTGACTCATCAGGGAAGTGACTGCTGAAATCTGGGTGGCTGTTTCAATTTCTTTCTCTCTCACTTTTTTTCTTCTGGTACAGGTCTTACTATATAATTCAGGCTAATCTTAAACTCATTATGTAGCCCAGCGGGCCTCAAACTTGTGGTGATCCTCCTGCCTCCGCTCCTGAGTGCTGGGATTAGAGGCATACACCACCATGCCAGGCTATGCAATTTCTTAAAATAAGGCAACAGTGAAGTTTGCTGTATCAATGAACTCTTCATTTTATGAAAGATTTTTCTGCAGCATGTGATGTTGCTTGAAAGCACTTTGCTTTCAGTAGAACTTCTTTCCGAACTGGAGGACCCTGTCATACCTGCTTTTATCAATTAAGTTTATTTAATATACTAAATCCTCTGTTGCCAATTCAACAAGGTGCACAGCACCTTCACCAGGAATAAAGTTCATCACAAGAAGGCACCTTCTTTGCTCATTCCAGAGAAGCAACTTGTCATGGTTCAAGTTTAATTATGAGGGTACAGCAAATAGTCAGCTCTTCAGAGGGTAGGGAGGGCTAAGGAAAGGGACAGACACGGAGACAGCCAGCCTTCAGTTAAGTTCGCTGCATGTGAGCCTGGACCATGTTGCCCCAGAATGACAGGCAAAGACCGCTGATCACCATGACAGATGTAGTCATGACCAAAAAAGTTTGAAATAATTGGAAATACTACCAAAATGTAACAGAGTCACAAAGTGTGCAAGTGCTCAGAGACTTGATCAATGTATGATTGTTACAAACCTTCAATTTGTAAAAATCTCAATATCTGTAAAGTTCAATAAAGCAAACCATAATAAATGGAGGTATGCCCGTCTCCTCTGGTTCTCCTTCTAGAAATGAAGTATGGGGTCTTTAAAAAAAAAAACGGCTTTGTTGAGATATTTCATACACCAGAAAACTCACCCTTCTGCAGTGTATAATTCTGTGGATTTTTGAAGATTCAGTTTGCAACTCTATCACTACTACCTAATTTGAGAACCTTTTATCATTCCCCAAAGAAACCCTGTACCCATTAGCAGTTGCTCTCCCATTTCCAATCCCTGGAAACTTGTCATCTACTTTCTGTCTATGAATTTGCCTATCCTGGATATTTCACATTTAAAAAAATCATATACTACATGGCCTTTTGTGAATGACTCCTTTCACTTAGCATGGTATATTCAGTGTTCACACATATTGTAATATGTCTTAGTACTCTATTCCTGTGTATTGTGGAATTACTATTCCATTGTTTGAACATCTCCCATTTTCTTTATCCAGTCCTTATTTGATGAGAGTGTGGGTTGTTTCTACCTCTTGGTTATTATGAGTAATGATGCCATGAACAATTTATATGCAAGTTTTTGTGTAGACACAGTTCCAGCTGTCTTACACATACACAGAGGAGTGAACTCTCTGGGTAACCCAATGTTTGACTCTTTGAAGAACTGCTAAACCTTTTACCCAAACAACTGATTGGGGTTGTAATTTCTCCACATCCTCACCAATGTTTGCTATTGTCTTTTCCTTTTCTTTTTTTTTTCACTTTCATCATCCTTGTAGGAGGGAAACAATATCTCATTGTGATTTTCATTGCCATTTTCCTAATGAACAATAAAATTGATCATCGTTTCATATATTAGTTGGCCATTTGCATATCAGACATATTAGTTTTCTGTAGCTTTCTGATCTTTTTTCTTTTATCTTTCACTGTTTTAAAAATTAGTTATGCCGATTAATAGGTTTCACTTTGGCAGGTTCATACATGTACGTAACATACCTTGATCATTTTTACCCGCTTCCTAGTGCCCTCCTTGCCTAGCCTTCCCTCAGTTTCACATTTGGGCTGAAGTTTCAGTCTGTATAACATATTTTGCTCATATCCATCTATCAATTACCTGCCTTATCCCCCTTCTCCCTCTCTCCTATTTCCTTCCTCTTGTCTAATAATAATCCCCCCTTCTACTTTATTGTCAAATTTTTTAGATTCCACATGTTAGGGAAAACACGGGATATTTGTCTTTCCGAGTCTGGCTTATTTTGCTCAACATGATAGTTTCTAGATCCTAGCTGTAAATGACAGCATTTTGTCCTTCCTTATGGCTGAATTATTCCCCAGTGCAAATAAATACCACATATTCTTTATTCATTCACCTGTTGATGGGCACCTAGGCTGGTCACATATCTTGGCTATTATGAATTATGGTGCAATAAACATGGGTATACAAGTATCCCCATAGAATGCTGACTTAAATTGCCTTGGGTATATACCAAGGAGTGGTATACTTGGATCAAATGGTAGTTCTATTTTCAGTTTTGAGGAACTTCCATATTGATTTCCATAATGGTTGTATAATTTACATTCCACAGGAAAGGTCCCCCCTGTCATCTGCCCTTGCCAGCATTTACTGTTTTTTGTATCCTTGATGAATGCCATTCTGCTTAGCTTTTTTTTTTTTTTTTTGTACCGGGGATCGAACTCCGGTCCTTGCTCTTGCAAGGCAGGCAGTGGAACCACTGAGCTAAATCCCCGGCCCAGATGAATGCCATTCTGATTGGGGTGAGATGGAATATCAATGTAGTTTTGATTTACATTTCCTTAATGGCTAAAGGTGTTAATTTTTAAAATATATTTATTGGTCATTTGTACTTCTCTTGAGACGTGTCTGTTCAGTTCATTTGCCCATTTATTGATTGGGCTATTTGATTTTTTGCTGTTAAATTTCTGTGTTTTTTATATACTGTGATGCTAATCCTTTGCTGAAAGAGTAGCTGATAAAGATTTTCTCCCATTCTGTAGGCTGTCTCTTCACTCTATTACTTGTTTCCCTTGCTGTGCAGAAACTTTTAAATTTGATATAGTCCTACTTGTTAATCCTTGCTATTATTTCCTGTGCTATTGGAGTCCTACTAAGAAAGTCTTTGCCTGTGCCTATGGCTTCAAGTGTCTCCCTTATGTTTACTTTTAGAAGTTTTGAAGTCTTGGACCTTATACCCAGGTCTTTGATCCACTTTGAACTGATTTTGGTACAAAGTGAGAGATTGGGATCTAGTTTAAATCCTCTACAGGTGGATACTCAGTTTTCCTAGCATGATTTATTACAGAAGTTATCTTTTCTCCAGCCTGCATTTTTAATTCCTTTTTATAGAATCAGATGACTGCAGTTGCTTGGGTTTGTTTCTATGTTCTCTATTCTGTTTTTCGTGTTGACTTTTATGCTAGTACCATGCTGTCTTTGTGGTATAATTTGAAATTGGGCATTGTGATGTTCCTAGCCTTGCTCTTTTTGCTTAGGATTTCTTTGGCTATTTTGGGTCTTCTCTTTCCATACAAATTTTAGGATTGTTTTCTTCTAGTTCTGTAAAGAATGGCATTGATATTTAATGGGAATTGAATTGAATCTTTAGGTCACTTTGGGCATGGCTGGTATGGCCATTTTGACAAAATTAATTCTGCCGATCCATGAATATGGGAGATCTTTTCATCTTCTGGTGTCTTCTTCGATTTCTTTCTTCAGTATTCTGAAATTTTATTTTATTTTATTTTGTATTTTTATTTTTATTTTTTTTGGTACCAGGGATTGAACTCAGGACCTTGCGCTTGCCAGGCAGGCATGGTGCCACTGAGCTAAATACCCATCCCTGAAATTTTAATTGTAGGATCTTTCATCTCCTTGGTTAGATTGATTCCTAGGTATTTTAATTTATTTCAAATATTGTGAATACTCCAGAAAGAATGGCTGCTATCATGAAATCAACCAATAACAAATGCTGGTGGGGCTGTGGGGAAAGAGGAACCCTGCTCCACTGCTGGTGGGAGTGCAGACTGATGCAACCACTGTGAAAATCAGTATGGAGATACCTCAAAGAACTAGGACTGGAAGTCCCATTTGACCCCGCTATTCCACTGCTGGGGATCTTCCCCAAAGAATTAAAAGAATCATACCACAGTGATATATGTGCTTCCATGTTCATAGCAGCACAGTTTGCAATAGCTAAAACTTGGGAACAGCCCAAATGCCCATCAACTGGAGACTGGATAAAGAAAATGTGGGTTTTTAATAAAATGGAGTACTACTCAGCCATAAAAAATGAGAAATTAGAGACATTTATAGCTAAGTGGATGCACATTGAGGCGATACTCTTAAGTGAAATAAATAGGACACACATGAATAAATTCTGAATAGCTTCTCTGGTGTGAGAAACTGAAAGTGTAAATAAGGACTAAATGTATAATAGGTAATGTGAAATAGGAAGAAAAGGGGCAAAGGGGAAGGAAGTGGGAGGGCTAGGGGAAAGGATAGAAGGGAATGGGATTAATATGAGAAATGGAAAAAATGGAAATAAAGTCTTTGTAAATAGGGAGGACTGGAGGGGTTGAAGGGAGGCCTGGGCAAGGGTGAAAAATAAGAACCAAGAGAGACTATGTAAAGGTGCAAATTTCCAATGATGAATGTCATTAGATTGTATACCTAAAATGAACCAATGATTAGAATGAATAATTGAAAATGTAAAATAGGAAGAAAAGGTCCAAAGGGGTAGGGGTAGTGGGAGGGGCAGGGGAAAGGAAAGAAGGGAAAGGAAAAATGCTGAGAAATGGAAAAAATGGAAATAAAGTCTTTGTAAATAGGGAAGGGTGGAGGGGGTGAAGGGAGGGCTAGGAATGGGGAAAAAATAAGAACCAAGAAGCATTATGTAAAGGTACAATTCCCAATGAGAAATGTAATTGTGTTGTATACCTACAATGTCCCAATAAAAGAATTTAATAAAAAAATAATAAAAATACAAATAAAATAAAATATTGTGAATGGAATTGTTTTTCTGATTTCTTTCTCAGCTACTCCATTATTGGTGTATAGTGAAACTACTGATTTTTTAAAATGTTGTGTTCATATCCTACTACTTTGCTGAATCTATTTATCAGCTCTAAAAGTCTTTTGGTGGACTCCTTAGATTCTTCTCAATATAAGCTCATACAGTTTGCAAACAAAGATAATTTGACTTTTCCTTTCCTATTTGTATTCCGTTTATTTTTTTCTCTTGTCTAATTAATGTAGTTAATTTTAAGAACTATTGAGTAAGAGTGGTGAGAATGGATGCTTTTGCCTTATTCCCGAGGTAGCTATTTTAATACTATGCAGTAGGTAAGGAAATTAAAGATCAGAGGTCCATTGTCATACAACTAGCAAAAAGCAGAGCTAGAATTCACATGCAGGTATAAATCTACTGCCTGCCCAGAGAAGAGAGAGGGGAGAGAGAAAGGGAGGAAAGGAGGGAGGGAGTGACAGAGGGAGGGGAGAGAGAGAGAGAAAGAGAAAGAGAAAGATGAAGAGGAACAGAAAGAGAAAGAGGAAGAGAAGGAGATGGGAGAAAGGAAGGAGGAAGTGAAAGAATGACCATCAAGTGATCTCTGAGGCCTTCTCACAGTGCAATTATCCCTAACTACTATATCCAAGGTATGGAGTTTACTGTACATAATCAGTCTCTGTGAGTTTTCTCTCCATTCTTCTGCTAGGAGTCCTAGAGGTCATAAGATTGAGGCTCCCATCTCAATCAGGGCCCCAAGACCTCTTTGCAGACCCAAGGTATGAGAATGGCTGGTTTGTTGCTACAGTAACAGTCTGAGAATTCCAGGATGTAAAAGCTAGCATTTTGGAGACATTTGAATTTTTTTTTTTTGGTACCGGGGATCGAACTCAGGTCCTTGAGCTTGCACAGCAGGCAGTGAAACCACTAAGCTAAATCCCCGGCCCAAGAGCCAGCATTTTGACTCAGTGGAGCTTGATTGATCCTAGGGGGCAATATCAGGTATAATAGAGGTGTGGCCAAATTCAGTTGGATGTGGACAAATGGGAAGAGCTGTGAGCAGAGGTACATGGAGAGAAATAGAGCCCTGTCTTAATTGTGAACTTCTCTATGTTCTATTTCCTTCCTATAATATGGAGGACCTTTTCCTATTTTCCATAGAGATTTTTGTGAAAGTAGATAAAATGACATGGCTCTGCCATTTTGCCCCAAAGAAAATTATGGCAAAATAGTAAGATGAATACTTATGTAATATTAATATGGTACACGTTTAATCACCACTCATACTCTTCATAGTTGCTTCAGGGCAGAACAGGAAAAATATCAAGGTTTAAATGTTGATTTCCATAATGGGCACTTTTTGGAGATAAGAGTTGTCAAAGAGAAATCTTCCAGTTTGCAGGATTCAGGTGTGGTTGAAAGAGTACAACCTGCAGTCCCAAGTCTGGGAAGACACTGAGGCTTGCACGAGTCATTAAAAGTCAGTCCTTCTCCAATTGCTGTCGATGGATCTGAAGCATCTGTATCGCCTGAGTACCAATTAGGAATACAAATTCTGAGAGGTCTCCCCAATCCTGTATTAGATTCCTACAACAAATTACCTCACCCTTGGCACCATAAAGCAATAAAAATATTATCATAATGCCATTTCAGAGGTCAGAATTCTGAAATGGGTCTCACAGGGATAAACACAAAGGTGTCATAACATCTGTTCCCCTTCTGGAGGATCTAGGCAAGAATCTGTTTCTCTTCTTTTTCAGCTTCAAAAGGCCCACATTCCTTTGTTTAGCCTTATCACTCTGAGCTGTTTCCATTGTCACATCTGCTCTTCTGAACTTTGACTCTCCTGCCTCTCTTTTATGAGGACTCTAAACTGCCCTCATCTAGATAATCCAGGATAGTATCTCCATCTCCTTAATCATAACTGCAAAGTCCTTATCTGCAAGGTAACATATTCCCAGATTTTCAGGATCAGTGTGTCATTATGGTTGTTAAGGATTATTCTACCAGCCACACCTAAGCTGAATCAGAAGCTTAGGAGTGGACCTAGCAGCCTGTGCTATAATGAGCCCTCCAGGTGACGAACACCCATGTTTTAGAACCACTGCTCAAAGCCACAGAATAAACAGGTTCCTGGACAGGTGACTGGGCTGCAAAAGAAGTGGGAGCTCTTGGAAGAAAGAGGAGAGAGTCGGAGACATCCAGAGAGCTGAGTTATGAGTGGGGCCTATGTCTGCTCTGCAGCTTCCCAGAGGATGAAAACTGTATGAAGCACAAGGAGAAGGTGCTAAACAGAGACCTAGGTAGGTCTGACAATGTTTGTCAGAGAAGCTTATAGCTGGTTCTTCTCAGAGGGGCGATTCCACATTATTTTGGGGTTTTCCCCCAGGAAAACAAATCACAGGGTAGCCTACTTTGCCAGAGAAAGACTGACACCCTCTCACTTCCATCCCTAACAACTTAGTCCATTCTGGCTGCTGTAACAGAATACCTGGACTGGATGGCTTCTAAACAACAGGTGGTTCTGGTGGTTCATGGTTCTGGTGGATGTGAAGTCCAAGACCTAGGTGCTGGCAAATCTGGTGTTTGGCAAGGATCTATTCCTGGTAGATGGCACCTCCTGTATCCTTACAGGTGGAAGAGATGAACAAGCTTGTATTAGTTTTACCAAAGACAGATATAACATGATATATATAAATATATATAAGAATTTATAAGATTGGCTTATAATGGCCACTCATAGAGTTGGATGTGGAAGAGTGTAAAATATCTGTCTGCACACTGGAGATCAAAGCTCTGGAGCTCACTGCAGAGTCTGTATCAGGAGGCTGATGGGTCTGTGATGAAAGCCTGAAGAGTCTACACTGCAAGCTGAGGAGTCTGTGCTGGAAGCTGAGATGACGTCCAAGGGGGAGAAGACTCCAGCTCTCCAAAAGAAACAGAAGCAGATCTCTCTTCTTTTATTTTCCCTTATGCTATCCAGGTGACAAGCCACCTTAGGGTGGGTCTTCCACTCCCTAGGGTGTGGAATTGCTGAGCCAGTTTAGTTCTTTTACTCAAGTTGACACAACCATCAACCATCAATCAACCATAATGAAGCTCCCTCAAACCTTTCTGGGCACTAATCTCATTCAGGAGGATTCCTTTCTCATGACCTAATCACCACCCAAAAGTCATACATTGTAATATTATTGCATCAGGGATTTCAACATATGAACTTTGGAGGAAACAAACATTGGACTATGACACTCATCATGACTCCCTTGTCTTTGGGTGGGAGTAGGGAGGTCTGGATGATTGTTGGTGTCCCTTAAGAGAGTGGGGGGGAGCTTAGAACTAAACATTAGGGTTCCAGTAGGTAGGTGGGGGATGCTGCTTCAGAGGTCACTACATGGACATCTTTAAACTGGAGCTGAAGGGAGGATAAGAAATCTCATCTGGAGAATGAGACAAATAATCTTACCCTAGTTCCAGGAAAGCACAACAGCTCCTAAGAACCCAGAACCTGAGGAAAGGTGTAGGGACAAGAGAAGGGGATGCAGGAAGAATTTTATATCAACTACGTACTCATCTGAGAGACCTTGTGGTAAACCAAAAGAGACTAAGTTACCTGAAAAGGGTAATAAAGGCTCAATTATGTTTCACTTTTAGAACAATGGGTGTGTTGTTTTTCAGGACACAGAAGAGATACATATTACATCAGAAAACCTTCATCCCTTGACCATGTCCTGGGTTTTATTGCAAGAAACCAGTAATAGCTAAAAGCAGAGGGAAGCCTCCAGTACATCTACAATTTGTTGTATTCTTGAAGGAAGGCATGATGAAATGATGATTCAACAAGATTCCTGGCAAAAATATTTCCCTTTCCCCAGCTCTGTGGTCCCATTCAAGGCTGGATGCCAGGTACATTGAATACCTGGCTACCCAGGATCCATACAAAGCCCATGCATTCCTTTTTTGTCTTGTCCTTTTCTGCATTTTACCAAAGCCCATTACCAAATAATGGACTCTGGATGGGAGTGAGGAATTATGAAAAGCACTCAGTGAAAATGTTATTTGTTTTAACCTAAGGAGCTTATAAAAGACTTAAAAATAAACTTTGTTATATTATTGGAATGGATCCTTGAATTTTATTAGCTTCATGAAGAGGATGATGTTCTGGAATGACATTATGGATAGTTTAATTCTAAGAATGAGAAATTACATGCCAAACCCTCAAATAGGGTGGTGGCACCTTCACTCAGTATGTTAGTCAGCTTTCCATTACTTTAATACATACCTGAGATGATCAACTTATGGAGAGAAAAAGTTGATTTTGGCTACAGTTTCAGAGGTTCCAATTCACAATCAGGTGGAGCTATTTCATCTGGGCAGAACAATATGAGCAAACCCATTCACCTCATGGAAGAGAGGAAAAGAGAGAAAGAAAGAAATAGACTGGGGTCCCACATTCTCCTTTGAGAGCATGGCTCCCACAACCTGAAGACCTCATATTAGGTCACACCTTTCAAAGGTTCTACCATTTTTCAATAACACCAGACTGCGGAGTAAGCCTCATGGGCCTTTGAGAGGACATTCCTGATTCAAAAACTATAGCACTCAGTAAAAGTTCCTAGTCCAGCTCTCATGTAAAGCTCAGAGGTTTAGATCCTGGACACTTACTCTGGTGTGGCTCAAAATAAAGTGTTTCTTCAGTATTTGTTGCATAGGTCATTATCTCCCACCAGGACCTCTCAGGTCATGCATGGCCATGGCAGAGCTAGCTTAGTATTTCTGAGTTCTAGCACAATATCCAACCCAGAATCCTTTATCAAGACACAAAAAACAAAAGGAAGAAAGAGACATTGGGTACTTGGAAGATTGAAAACAGAGTGATCTCAGTATGTTTGTAGAGTGAAATTGCTTTCTCTTTTGTTTGCCCTACATTCCTTCTTTTGGGGGGTTTTGATGAGAGTGTCATTCAGGGGACCCCCACTTCTCCACCACAGGGTGGGCATTTGACCCACAGTGTCCAATACTCCAGTGATTAGTTTAGGAGTGAGCATGAGACCCAAGAAGGTCCAGTCAGAGATTTTTTGGTGGGAGATTGTTAATGGACACTGGGATAAAAAGAATATCCTTTTCAGCTACCTATTAAAACTGTTCATGTTAAGCTTAAAGCTTGTAGAACTCACCAAGAGAGAGACTATTAGAAGATAAAGACAAGATAAAGGAAAACATAGTAGAATGATGAAGAAAAGAGAAAGTTGAATGACATAGTCTTGATGTAGCCATACCTGCAGGGCTACCCTATAGATCAATTTCCAAGTTGTTGTGTGCCAGTAAATTTCATTTAGACTATTGAAATTGGATTTCTATCTTCTGCAACAAGAGTTAATTCCTGGAAAATACACAATCTAGGCACAATTCAATGAAGGATGAAGAGTAAGATAATGCTTGCTAGAGAAAGTGGGCAATATATCTCCATGTTCTAAGGGATAAAAAATATTAAACTGAAGATAAAAAGAAAGAAGGAGGTTAGGTTAGGTGATACTACTGTTCATCAGTTCTCTACAGTAGAACTGCAGTATTTCTGTTAGAATTTATTTTGGGCCCTCAATCCCAAAGTCTGTGAGCACAATCCCTCTGAAACAAGATGAAACAAGATCCTGGTGGAGCACCACCATGAGAATCAAAGCTTTCTCGGCTACTAGAATCATATAATACTTTCTTGAGGTAACAGTGTGAGGTACATTGTAACTAGTGTGATAAGATAGTCTCTCTGGATTTTCAAAAAACTTATTTACTATATTGCAAAATATAGTAATGACTGAAGAGAGAGTCCAAGCCTACTGTAGGATTCAGGAAACTCGAGGCTTTTGGCTTCAATTATTTCCTCCTCCCATTGTTTCATCCGTGTGAGGATGTTGTGGCCACAGGTAATTGCCCTGGGAATTGTACTGCAGAGATACTTTGGTTTAACTCCACTTTCTGTTCTTCTTCCTTTTTTGATAATAGGTAATGATTCACTGCTGGACATTATAAGACTTCTCTCTTTGGCATTACCCTGTGCTCTCTCCCTTACTGTCTGAGATGAATTAGTTATAGAGAAGACTGTAAATTAAAATACACTGTGGCTTGGTATTGGTATGGTTTTTAGGAAAGATTCAAATGTCTGAGCAAAAAAAGTTTCATTGAAGAACACAAAATGCACATTTTAATCTTGAATATGTTTGTTGAGTAGAGAAATAGGCCTAAAAATTATAAAAGGGTTAGGTCAATACATGCCATTTCCATTGTAATACTGGATTTTTCAAAAAAGGGAGTTACACCGTTCAGCATTCACTTAACTTCATATTTGGGGCCATCCCTTTGGTGTGAGATCTTGGTGGAAAGCAATGCCCTTCCTCCAACTGTCAAAGTCACAGGGTCTCACTCCTGCTCCAAGCTTTTAACCCTTTAGAACTGGACATATGAACACATATTGACCCTCCTAGACATGGAATGTTGACAGAGTGATTTAAAAAGTCTAACTTTTCAAGCCAAGCCCTTCAGGCTTTCTTTGATTATAGAATCTCATATAGATATCTCCCATTTTGATAAAGGATATTCAGAATTCATTTCTGTTATTTGCAAGGACAAAATTTATATTTATTTATAGCATCATCATCACCATCATCACTACCGTGTTTTCAAAGGCCCATTTGGACCACTCAGCCCTACATTTTCATGAGTCCTTAGAGATAATGGCTCCAAGAAAGACAGAACCTTTAAAAAGACCGTGCATATGAGAGCAATGACAGGTATGCTTCCCCTTCTGCACCCTGGTATTCCATCCCACTCTCAAGAAAGTCCTTGAAACTTAGAGGAATGGCACCCCAGGTATGTCCTGGATTCTCATCTCTCCCTTTTGGTTGCTGTTGGGAAACATCTTCCTAACCTCAAGTGCTCAAGTAGCCTCTCCCAGAGAGAGCATGAGGAGTGTAAGAGTGAGATTCATGTTTGACCTGAGCAGGTTGGAGAGATGGAAGGGAGTGGAATCTTTGAGCACTTTTTAAAGGGAAGCTTATGAAGGGGAGCACAAAGAGAACTGGAGAAGACTCTACAGGTTCTCCCCACTTTAAGGTCCCCAGATGGCTCCCAGAGTTTTGTTTCTATTAAGTGTTTCAAATCCTGGTGAACATTGTTCCTGTCATGTATTATTGGTGACAGATCAGCAAAGTAGTATGGTATGGATGTTTTTGAGGTAAGTGTTATGGACTGAATGTCTGTGTCCTCCCAAAATTCATGTGTTGACATCCAAACTCTCAAAGCGATGGTATTTGGAGATGGGGTCTTTGGCAAATGAGGTTATGAGGGTGGAATCATGGTGAGGGGGTTAATGCCCTTGTAAGAAAAGACAGGAGAGAGGTTGTATGAAGACATAAGGAAAAGACAGGGATCAATAAATAAAAAAGCAGATTGCCACACTTTGGAGTTGCTAGTACCTTGATTTTGACCTTCTTAGACTCCAGAGCTGTGAGAAATAAATGTTTATCATTTAAGCCACTCAGCCTATGGTAATTTGTTATAGCAACTCAAACTGACTGAAACATACAGACTTGGCTTTGAATCTTTGACCTGCTGTTCAATAGCTAGGTGACCTTCAGCAAGCTGCTTATTGTCTCTGAATCTTAAATGAAGGGTTTTCTTTTCTTTTTTTTTTTTACTCTAAGAACAGGGGCAATGGTGATAATACTGTAATAGAGTTATGAGGATTAACTGTTTTGATAATGCAAAGGCTTTAGCCTGCACCTGGCATTTAATAAGGGTTGGATAGATGTAGACAGGTGTAGTGGAGATATAGTTGTTTTCTTCTCTTGCCTTGGACTAGATGAGGTCATTTTGGTGTCGTCAGAGGGTGGGAAGATGCTGTGGCTCTGAATTTGAAGCCAGGACTTC